GTAATTGTCCCAATTGGGCCCAAAAAGGGCCACAGATCATCCCAAACAATTTAATACTGTAGTCTGTGCTCATGTAGTTAAGGTTTCAATGATGTAAACCTTGTTTGTAGATTTTTCCCGAACTGTATGAACCTTAATTACACATGTAGCCCCCTTACAACATGTAGTATGATGTAACTGGAGGGGTCTACAGTGTATTTTGGTCCAATATCACTCAAGGACTACAAAGTAAGTGAAGGAGTAATAATTCAGGGGTACACTTGGTGAGCTACCCTAGGTTATTTTGCATGTAGATTCAGAATCTGCAATAATATTCTGAGTTATGCTTAAGGTTCAGAAGTTATTAGGAGATTCTGGTTAAAAAAATGTTATTTTCCAGTATTTATTTAATTATTTAAATGTTTTTCTCTTAAAATATTACAATGTAAGTGTACTATGTAATAATGTCTCTATTATAGTGCTTCCACTTATTTAAATAGTATATTTTTATTATTTTAAATGTATGTACATATATAAGTAATAATGTATCTAATTTATATGTAAAATGCTTTGTTCAGGCTGGCTCTGATTAGTAGCAGGCTGACAAGGATCTCTCATTAGTATCTACAAGTGAAGGAAAGGGAGGAAAGGAAATGAGAAGAGAATGAATGAAGACAGGGTGCTTACCTAGACAGGAGAGAAGGATCTCTGCCGTCTAGGTAAAGGGGAAAGCTGAGACTAAATACAAAGCAGAAACAGCTTATGTAATCTTGTGACATGGTTGTGTAAGCCTGTGAGGAGCAGGGCTTACATCTACTACTATCTCTGTAAGCTACTCTACCAATATCTCTGTAAACTACTCTACTAATATCTCTTTGACCCTTCTCCTCTTGTTCAATAAGTTTGCATCCTTGATCCCTTCATTGAACCAATTGAGAACCCCAGGCAATATTTTCCCATTCTTGGAATAAAACACGACTGTCATTCCTCTGCTCACCAATACACCACTAATAGTGACATTATTACTAATTAAATTAAGTTTTACTAGTCATAAAAGAAAACATAAAAATGAACCAAAAAAATTTATAAATAAACATTTTTAACAAGAATCTACAAATAACTTCTGAAACTTAAGCAAAAGTTGGAATATTATTTTATATTCTTGATTTAGATGCAAAATAACCTACACAGGCGCCCAAGTTCGACCGCAATTTTCCCCCGAATTCACCGGAAAATTTACCCTTTTGACCCCAGCAGACATGTAGGGTTAAATGGCGGTCGAACCTATGACCAGTTTGACCGCTGAATTCATACCGGCTATACTATCGACAAATCCCCCCCAGTAACCGGGAAAATTGCGGTAAAGTCGCGCCGACCAGCAAAAAAGCCACGCCATCTAAAACCGCAACAAGATGAGGTCTACCGGATTGCATCGGATTCGTCGTCACGGATGAGGGATCGGTTTATCCGTATCTAAATCCGAGAAACGCATACTTTGCATGGACTTGGATATTCCAGTCCGCTGGGGAAATGGTGCCGGGTCACATCCTCACACAGACCCCGCGGCTACCTCAGGTGGATGTCGTGCAGTGATCAGAATCGGACGATTCTCACACTTTCACATTGGGGGCTCAGATCGCAACAGTATGTGTAATTTCAGTTGAATCAAGGCGGATTAAAAAGAGAAATAAACTTTAGGCCCCACTTGGCCATTGTGCTGGGCGATGTTTCTTGTGAGAATGAGTAGTGTGTAGGTAGAAACAATATTGAAGGCAGTAGTGTTTGAGCCGCAAGGAAATTCAAAACATATACACTTGTCGACTACCCATGTAGCTGTTCCACTACTCTTTTTTTTTGAAGTAAGGGTGAGCAGAAGGAAACAGAAGGCAAAATGGTTGTGTTGGGGAATTACACCGGTAGGTCCACACCCTCAACCAAAAGGGTTGGATTGGCCTTCACTTCGGTCCCCAGTAGACATGCGGCGGATTTCTTCCTCTACATCTTCCTCACTGGGAACTCGGATCTCTTCATGGTTGATGCAATCAAAATTCTTCTTCTGGCCAAAAAGCTCGTGGTCAATTGCTCGGACTACCCGACCATACCTACAAAAACCCACCAAGAAAGTTGTGAAAAATACTGTCGGAATCAAACAAAGATGGCCACGGCGTACGCAATACGGTAAAGATCGCTTTGTTTCTTGACATATTCAATTTGTTGGTCAATCATCTCCCACTGCGATATGTTCTGTGTGGGGTCTCGATGAATGAGGTGTACAACGGTATAGAGGCGCAAAAAAGCCAGGCGTGTCTTGACATTGTCAGGATAACTTCGTTGTATCTCGTCTACGGCTCTCAACTGTTTGCGCAAGGCCATATTGTGATCGATCTGGTGGGGAAGTGTCAGAGTGGAAGTTGTGGAGACATGACAGATGGCATAACTCACCACAACAACCAGGGCATCCAAGCTTGGAACAGCGCCGTCGATAGGCCGGTGATTCATTTCCTTGATGTTGTAGAGGAGCTTCATAGTACCATCAGGTCAGATGGGATAAATTCGGGAATTCTGGAATTAAAATGCTTACTAGAGTGCGTAGAAGGCCCTTTTCACTTTTCATAAGTCTGCGCATTTTTTCAACCACTGTAAGACAAGCATCAAGGCTCTGAGGGTATCCAGGTGGGAGGTAGTCCCGGTGAAACGCAGCATCTTGCAATCAAATGTATGTCTAAAGGATGCAAATGGCAATCACAATCGGAAGTACCGGTTACAGAGGATGAATATTAACAGGGACTTACTTTAAGCAGGAGCAAAGGAGTGCGCCTGATTGGGGTTGAGTCTGATAAGGTCATGGTTCGGGTATAGGCATTGACATTTGCCTTGACCAAGATCTGACGCAGCTTGTCCCGCATGAAACACTGCGTTTGGTGGGGAGATCAATATTACTGAGTCCGCAAACTTGAAGAAATTGATCTCACCTTGATATGATTTGAAAAGGTGAATGGTGTCGGCTGCCCTGGCATGGCACCTGTAGACACCACAGGAGAATCCAACTGCCCCGCAGTGGGGGTTTTACCAAGGAAATACACAAAAAAAAGAACGTTGAGGCGCCACTTCTCCTCTTCTGTGGCCTATCATTTTCGTTCAGATCACATGGGAAATTCAAACGTGTGTGGGGCCAATGAGTAGAGTATCAGGGCAAATTGAGATGAGGAGGAGTGGGACTCACTTGAAAGAGTCGATTGGCGAGTTGCAAGTTGGCCTCAGTGAGGTTCAACTGCGCTTGGACTTCAGCAATCAAGCCAGCACCAATCGTGGTGAGATTGCCAGGTGCTGCTGCTGGTGGGGTCGCCCCCCAAGTCAATGGGAGTGGATCTCGCAATCGGTCATCATCTGATTCAGTTTGATGTTCAGAATCGTCATCACGTGTGTTGGCATTGGTTCCCAAAAAGTGCTCTGGAAGTGGTGAGCGATTGGTTTCCTCAGGCCAGTCAAGAGTGGGGTCAATAACTGGGACTCTTTCCCCCCAACCCAAGTCACGATCAGGCGTTTGATTCGCAGTCAATCGGTCCCTGCGGCCAACGTTTGAGTTACCTTGGACGGAGTGCAAAACTTGCGTTGATGCTTGGGTTCAAGAACCTTGGCCTCGGCTGGATCCACGGGCTCGGGGCAATTGTTGTCCTCGAGCAGATCCTCGATGGTGGGGATGAAACCGATCTACATCAAACAAGAAATAGGTGAAAAAAATGGCAAGTGAGTGGGGTCAAAATCATTGGGCCTCACTGGAAACTGGTACATGGCTAAGGGGCAGCCGACTTCCTGCTTGGGACGCTGAAGAGGGTGGGGATTGAGTGACGCTCTGCGGTTGAGACATCACAACCACCAAGACAGCTCTGCACAACGAGTGGAAAAATTTAAATAAGAGGCTTGTTTGAGAGGAAGGAATCGCAAACGCGGCGCCCTTTTCACTTGCCACCCAAAGCCAATCCCACATTTTGCCTGTCGCTTCATCTTTCCACAATTGGGGGACTTTCAGATTGGTTTTTAAGTTATCCTTGTACGACAAAGCAGTGTTTTTTGCCCATCGATCAATTCCACTCTCCCAAAACTCACCTCCGGTGCAAATTGGCACTTGGGTGGGGAAAGAATTGCACCAGAGCCAACTCTGTGGGTCCAAGACAAATCAAACCCACACTCTCTGGCCAAAGGCACACACTCAACCTGGCTGCAATTGATCTTGAGGCAAGTTCAACTGGCCACACACCAACAGTATTAGTGCAACCCTTGGCCTTTTACTGAAATTCATTTAGGGATGAATATACCAGGTAATTTGGGTTTCCTTGGGTCCAATTCAATTTCTTTGAAAAGTTTTTGATTTTTTTTCTCATATTTTAGGCTTCAGAATTGTGGACCGCCAACATGGCAGGACCACCTATGCATGTGAGGCCTGTCCAGGAAGAACTATGTTGAATCCAATTGAACATTTACAGTCAAGAACACACCTGATCAATGCAAGTCTGGTGAACCCAAATACTGAACCATTGCTAGAGGATCACATAAGTGCTGCTGCAACAGGTCCAGAACCTGAAGATACTGCTCTGGCATTTGAGACCATTCATATTTCAACAGGTGATCCAGAAAATTCTGAAGATGGTGAGGCTATGTTGCCCACAAGGGATGCAGAAGTGTTGATTTTTAATCCAAACCAAATTCAAGAGGTGGATTTTGAGGATGAGGGAAATTGGGATGATTCAATATTTGAAGCTGTTAATCTTGCACAAGAGAATTTTGGAGTGGATGTATTATTAGAAAGTGAGAGTGCATCTAGGGGTGGATTATCACATTGGTACCCATACCAAAACAGAGAGGTAATCTATATAAGTTATAAAACAAATCAGGTAAAATTACTGACTTGGTTGGATTGCAGGCTCTGATTGGTACACTTGTGCAAGGATATATGAGGAGTTCAATTTCACGCAGCATGTATTCTCAACTGCGCCTTATCATCTCAATCACCGGTTTGCAACTCCCTCATTGGAATACTATCAGGAACACTAGTGAAGGCATTAGGAGGCTATTGGATTTTGATGTGGTGGAAAATCATAGTATTTGGGATCACAAATGCTATTCATTAAGTATATCAAAGATCCTTGAACATGTAAGTTATATATCTCTTTATTATTCCTCAAGAAAAACTTCTGTACACATCTAGAAATTTTTATTTGAAAATACTTTAATGATTCAATAAAGAATTTGATTATTTTATGCTGAATCAATCTCAACTTGGGTTATCTAGGAGATTGCCAACCCATATGTTCACCCACATTTGGATTTCTACCCAGAGGAGACAAATGGGAAGAACATCTACAAATTTTCACAAAGCAAGAAATGGCGGGAGGATTTAGGACCAAGTGAACGAGTACAAATGGCTGTCAGCAATGATAAGCATTTCTACATCTTTGAACCAACTCAACTAAAATCTGGAACTGTTGTAATGCCTCTTTATTTCTTCAAGATGAATAATGAAATATATGCAAAATGTTCCAAGCCATTTATTTCACCAACCAGTCAAGACCCAAAGATACTGAAGATTGAATTTGCAGGAGCCCTGGAGTTCACATCTGATCATCTGCAAACAATCAACATTTCAGAGTTTCATAAGATATATTCCGAAATCATCTGGGGGAATTATGGGAAATTGTCAGAGGCATGCAAGTCCATTATTTGGGGTAAGTTTCACCTTTTTTATCAGCTTGAAAATTGGAAAATTTGACATGTTATGTGGGGATTTAGTAGAAATAGGAAATGAAACCCCGCTCACATTGCCAAACAAATGGAGATTCATAGCAAGAGGAAGAGTAATTCGCCACATGCCCATCAACTTGTATTCTGACGATACATCGGGTAATATTTCCAAGCAATTCAACAAACATGTATCTTTCTATTTTACCCTGTCTGGCCTTCCCCCAAATGTGGCCAATCAGGAATTCAATTGTCACTTTGTGACCACGTCAAATCAGGCAGGTGTTTTGGAGTTGGCAGATCGGTTAACAGATGAGATTAAGTAAGTCATTAAAGCTGAACATTCAGAAAAATGAATTGAGACTAATCTTTTGAAATCTTAGTGACTTGGCTACATTTGGACATCTGGCTTATGATTATGAGTTGTGCAAGGAAGTGCTCCTCATGAGTGTGGTATTATGCTTCCAGGCAGATTCTCCGATGCATGCGGAGATTACCTGCACTCACCTTCCAAATGCATCCTTGAATTCATGCCGCATGTGCAAACTAAAGGCCCAAAGTCTTGAAGACAGAAGAAGCCTTCAGTATATCCAGAATTTCATAGGGCGGAATACTCAAGGTCACATAGTAAATATCTACATGTTTTAGTGGCTCAAGTGACAAAAAAAAGCTCCTGATTTTCCTCAGAAAGCTGATATCATGCTTCATTTATGACCATAGTGCAGACCATCCCCAAGACTGTGGAGGGAAACAAAAATGACAGCCAAATATTTATGGAAACTCTCCAAAACTGAGCCAAAGACTCTTGTGGAAAACATGATCACTGATCTGGGAGTCAAGGATAATATAAACAAACAGGCTATGGAAAATATGCGGGAAGGAAAGGATCAAATCATGATTGATAAAATCAAAAGATTAGATACTGAAGATGATCGGGATCAGCTTTTCAGTCCCATCATGAGGCTCAAAGGTGAGATGGCCCATTGTATTTTTTGATTTTCCCTCTTTTACTTAAGAATAACAAATGATGTTTTTTTTTCTCTTCTTTCAGGCTTTGATGGCTGCTTGGATACTCCTGTGGAGATTCTGCATGTATTCCTCCTTGGGGTTGTGAAGTACCTAACTGGTGATTTCATGAAAGGACTGAAAGCTTGTCATCTTGAAAGATTGATGGCATCCTGGGAGTCTTTCAATAAAAACTCACTCAATATTGATATTATCAATTCTGTAAACATGGCCAAACACCATGATAGTTTTCTTGGAAAACATTTCCGGATAATTTTGCAAGCAGCGCCCTTTGTATTCTATCAATTTATGACAGAAGAGCAACGGCAGCTCTGGGTTTCTATGTGTCAGCTTTCAACTTATATTTTCCAAACACGCATTGATGACATGGATAAGTATTTGTCAAAGCTCAATAAAAGTATTGACAATTTCATGTGGCATATTACCAAGATGACATGTCAATGGGTGAACAAGCCAAAACTTCATATGCTTTGTCACTTACCGGAATGCATCCAACGATTTGGTCCAGCCACCCTTTATGCAACAGAGAAATTTGAGAGTTTCAATGGTGTTTTGCGGAATGCATCCATACACTCCAACCGTCACAGTCCAGGACAAGACATAGCCACAAAATTTGCCAATGATGCATGTTTACAATCAAATCTTTCAGGGGGAGCCCATTGGAACCACAGGACTAATGGTCGGTTTCATGCTGATCCCCAGGTTACTGATATATTCCAGAATAATCCCACAATACAAAAATCCCTTGGATACAACCATCTACTTGTGACACCTCAGCAACAACAACCTTGTGTTATACCTACCCCACTCCCCAAAGAACAAAAGGAAAGGGTTCCCGAATTTTTGCAAAGAAAATTTTTCAACCATACAATTAAACAAGTCCACCAGTTAAAACTATTCCAACATGATGCTTTGAAGAAAGACTATTTTGTTTTGGTGTGGTTTTCCCTCTGAAAAGTACTTCATTTTATTCCACTAAACCCCCCAAATTTCCCCCAGGTCAAGAAAAACACCACTGGATCCCCAAAGGATATTGAATGTGTTGAGTCCATATGGTCTGCAAGTTTGGCAAACCAAACCTGATATTTCATCAAAGCCAGAAGATTTTCTCAAGGGCCCATCCATCCATTTTATCAAATGAAAGAAATAGAAGCCACAACCCACATTGATTATTTTGACGCATCTGTATGTGTTTTCCTTTGATTCTCTTCCAAGTCCATTCATTTTTGCTGATTATTTTGTATCTCCAAAACTGATTAAAATACACCTCATGCCTTTTCAATTCATTCAGGATATATGTGCATGCCTGAATACTCAACACAATTGTCAATCTGGGAGATGTCAAGTTGTAAGGGGGCCTGGGAACAAAGGCCCCAATTATGAAGGAAATCAAACCACATTGAAGATCCGTCATAATGATAAAAAGAGTTTCATATTGAATTCAGCCTCATTACGGGATCCTGTCACTCATCGTAAATTGGCAGGCATCAACATTTGGTACCCTCTGAACTGGGCCACTGCAATTGAGACTGGTGGTTCCAAGTGGAAACACCATCCAGTTGGCCAGACACCCCAGACACGTGCAAGCAGCATTGCCCCAAGTTTGATTTGATTTTTTTTTTCATTGTTTCCAATGCCAAATCAACTGAATGATCTTTTTTGAAAAATAATGCAATAAATATACATGAATTAAACGTAAAAATGCTCCAATAAATATACATGCAGGAGATCTAAACATACTGCAATGCAAATAAATATACATGAATTATCCTTACAAATACTACAATAAATATACATGCAGGAGGTCTAAACATACTACAATGCAAATAAATATACATGAATTATCCTTACAAATACTCCAATAAGTATACATGTAGGAGGTCTAAACATACTCCAATCAAAATAAATATACAAGAATTAACCTCCAAAATACTCTAATAAATGTACATGCAGGAGATCAAAACATGCAATGAAATATACATGCAGCAGATTTAAACACATGCTTGAGGCCCTGTTTGCCTGGCTGAGTGTTGTAATTTTCAGGGAAGGTTTGGTGCCAGTTTGTGATTTTTTTTATATTGTTTTATATTGCACTGTACAAATCACCTCCAAACATCCTCCAACTCACATATCATGATTTCCAGCCAAACAGGGCCTGAAAATACAGCAATAACCTGCTCAATAAATACATACACTGCCAAATATATAAACTATCCAATTCACCCAATCATTCAAAAATATAAAATATGCGGCACTGTTGACATATTACACTTGCAGAAAAATTCACTGGGGTGTTTGGTCTCATTTTCTTGAATGTTAATCACACACTTCATTATTCACCATACAGGAAATACCATACCTGAATCAAATTATGATTTGATAAAAGGGGCATTTGATTTCATCACTTGATGACTTTACTGTCATTGTCTTCCATTATCCAAAGTGTTGTGAAAGCAGCCCTCACCAAGGAAATTGTGAAATGTGTTTGCAGTAAAATTTTATCTAACATGCACACTGTTGTGGGGAGTTTGACTGAATTTGAATGGAATTTTGGCAGGGATGATTTTTCTATAGACCATCAAGGGGCATTGAACTTGATCATCTTCAGGGGAGCCATCATCTGAAGGGCATTCATGGATGCATTTTATCTGAGGTCAATGTCCCTGATGCCTTGATTGGACCCAGGCCCTCTTCCGGTTTTGCAAGAGCCAGAAGTTCCTTGCCTGGTCAGCATGCAGGCCAATTTTGACCTTTGAAATCTTGACGGTTTGCATGAAGTGGAGTCACTTCACTCATTCATTCTCAGAATGGTTTTGACTGCCTGCTTCGATTGAGTGGATCATCAGGCATCAGGAAGAAATTTTGGGGAAATTGGACACTGCGACACAACAGCAGGCTCAAACCAATCATCGTGAAGAACCCACCACAGAAAGGACAATTGAATCTGCTCAAGCACGACCGAAAAAGCACCACGCCTGATACCGGAAAAACGTGTGTTGAGGCCAGTCACATCATCAACTTGAAGTTTCTGACATGCTTGCATTTCCTCAGGCCCAATGGTTCAACACGCCACTCACCGCTCGAGGGCCCGGCAGGTTTTCCGTCCTGTGCAACAGCAAGATTCACCGTCACCATGCCGCTCACATCGACCTGGCCGACGAGTTCACATCCCCTTTCCCCCCGGCGCACCCAGCCATAGAGCAATCGGTATGGAGACCTATCTTAACATTGCTCACATACCTTGGCACGACCTCCGTACCCGTTCCCGACTTCTGGTCCACGGCATCGGCCATTGGACTTTTTTTTGCGCGACCAATGAAGCGGAATTGAATCGATTGGGATTCCCCTTGGGGATTTCCCGCTTATTATGTGAAGGGGTTGCTTGCTTGGAGGCCTTTATGGAAGAAATGGAGCGAGAGGGGATTGAGATGTCCCCAATCTTATAGTTTTACACTTAACAGAATAAGCTTTTTGAAATCCAAACACGAGAAGCCTGCACCTACGTCAATTAAAATAGTTTGCATGCTTCATTCTCTGCTAACGAATTGAATCCCATGCCTCATCGGCTTTTGTTGAAGTTGAGCCACCATTTGAGTTGTTGCCAGGCGTTCAAATGAGGGAGAAACAAAGTAAGATTCCAAACAATGCTCCTCAACTGTCTATTGCATCCTTGCCTCGAAAAAGGCATCAGGATCAAAGAACCACAATTTGGCTTTCTTTGGAGTGTCAAAGGTGAACCTCAGCCTTTGCTTTATGGAAAATTGAACCAGGAATTTTTATTTATAATTATTTCAAAGCACCCAATCGGCAGGAACAAACTCAATGATTAGACTTGGAATGGTGGATCTGGTCAAGGATTGAAAGCCATCGTGTAATAACATACATGTATCTACTAAGTGATCTTCTTCCTCAACATGTTTTTCAATCTCTACATATTTTTTTCTCAAATGCCTTCAAAGAGAGAGCTCAGAGCAATGCATCAATTGAAAATTTATGGCCTTGTGCTGCCGTTGAATAATCATATTTTCATGTATTCAGTCATTCAAGAGATATTATTCATCTCAATGCGCGCCCGAAGAAGTTCCTGAGCCACGCAAACCAAGTTGAAAGCCGGGTCAGCGACATCTCTGCGTGGCCTAGTGCCTGGCCGCTGTGGGACCAAACCTGAAATATCCAAAGCCCACGTTTGCTCAATTCGGTCTTTGAGCCCCAGGAAAACCTGGCCATCAAACACTAAATCTCAGCGATGAGTCCAGTGGTCATTGCTCTGGTGTGTTGTGAACTTACAATAGGAGATATGCCACGACTTTGCACTCTGGCATGGATTCCCTGATCAAACTCCGCGCGAGATTTGTGGAGGCTGACACTGAATTCCTGAATAACGTGGACTTGAATGAGTCAGCTGATAGGGCATCAATCAAAACTCATACATATACAACTTACTATCCACTGGGTGACCAGTTCAACATAACGGCTTGCCAATTGTTTGACTGTGACGGAGGAAAGGCGAGTGAATTGGAGCTTGATCTCCTCGCAAGCACTGACATAGACGACACCGGTTTGTTGTGGCGATGAAGATGATGCGAGGAGATCGTGTTGCGCTTGCCACATGCAGAAGAAGTTCAGCATGTCGAGCAAGTGATGATCCGTCCACTCAGCGATCAACTCGGAATTGGCGGCCTCGGGCGGTCTTGCGGGTGTGTTCATGCTTGGAGTTGGAGGTTCTGTCTGCTGTCTGGGTTCATCTCGGGGGACCTTGTGTTTGTGACCAACGGGGCTTTCCTGGTTGCCAGGTCGCTTGGAATTGTGAGTATTGGAAGAAGGCTGGTGTGGGCCTGACTTCCGCTGAGTCGCACATCACTCACCGAACAAAAGCAGGAACTACAAAGTTTTTCATTATCCAACTCTCCTGGCCGGTTCCCCAACCCCAACAACCCATTTTTGACCTTAGAGGACATTGATGCGTTGTAGTTCGGAAGTTTAGGCGGCTCTTGGACTTTGTCGACAATTTGTCGTCTGAATGTCAACTATCCGGCGGGTCCGGTCAATTTGCGCGGCGGATGGGTTTAATTTTCAGGAAAACAACTGTGACAGAAAGAGAACTTGTCCCGCTGTGTAGGGTACCTTACCAAAGTTATCCCTGAATTATCACTCCTTCATGTACTTTGTAATCTGAGTGACATCTGCTCATTTTGCTAGAAACCCTCTCATGACAGATCTAAATACGTAAATAAGGTTCATGCACTTCAGGAGAAATCTACAAATAAGGTTGACATCATTGAAACCTCAACTACATAGTCACAACAACTGTAACTGGCTTGGTAAAAGCCATTTGTGGCCCAGGTAAAACTTTGTTTGATGAAAAGTAAAGGTTGAATATGTAATTGCTGATAAAATAACTGTAATGGTATGTAACAGATGAAGAGTTTATATAATTGTTTTGTAACTGGTGAGTTATATATTTATGAACTGGAGACAATAAATGGGGGGAAGAGAGCCTCCTTTTATAAAAAAATGTGAGGGAATTTAGCTCCAGGGCAGACAAGAAAGAATGATTTTAGCTGGCCTGTAGGTACAAATGAGGGAAATTGGCTAGTGAGACTGTTTGAAAATAATATCAAAGGCTGTGCTAAAGTGCGTTGTTAATCTCAAAAGTATTCCTGAGAACCTTTTGCTGAGTGCGGAAAGGGATGTGTGAGGTTACCTCTGCCTTTCCTGGTTCACTAGACCCTAAAACAAGCCCACCAATCTCAGATCGGCAGGTTTATATAGTGATAGTGGAGTGTTATCAAAAGATAACTGTCATATGATCCATGGATGGTATGTTGTGTAAGGTATTTATATTAACAGTTTAAGCTTAAGCAAACCGTCTGAGCCCTAAATAAAAAATTAATCCTCCCCCTCATACGGGTATTTCTCCCGGATCGTATGATCTAAGCGATGCCGCCGAACAAGAGTCATACGATGGCTTTTTCACTTTCACAATAGGACTCCTTTTATACTCGTTCACCACCCTTTCTACACACTCCCCAACTTTCTATAGACCCAAAACATACACCCACCAATTATCCCACCTTTCCTATTCCACCCCACAACAGAACTCCCCCAAAATTCCTTTTCCATCATCCTTCCTATTTCCTGCACTGCCTTGCCATGCGTGCTGCCTCATCTCATCCGCAACTTCCTCTTCACTTTTCTCAATATGGAACTCTAAATTCTCATCCACAAACATACATCCAACTTATCCCTTCAATCTTTCCTTTTCCACCCGCTCGTCCTCAATACCTCTATATCCGAACATTTCCACTTTTACACCTTCACATACAACTCCTTCTGCTTACCCTTTCCTCTTCAAGAAGTGCCCAATCCGAACCCCTGCTGCCGAGTTTATATTCAAGAATGTTACCAAGAGAAGCATTGAATGAGTACCCAAATTTGGCCTGAACACCGAGTGTTTTGAAGGACAGAATTCAACTTCCACCAATCCATCACTCAACAATATCATGTTCAAGAACACCTTCCAGAGCCGTACATTCTTCTCCACATTTTCTCTTTCCCATTAAGTTGGCCTCTTTCACTCATAACCGTCTTTTTCCACCCATCTGCAAACAACCCCCATTCCTCTCCACCACTTATATATAACTTCATTCACAACCTATTCTTTTCCCTACAACATCATTCCCCATCATAGCATCTCCCCATGCGTCCATACCTCTCCATGAACCGTCAAATATCTTTCACCGATACCACCTACACCGTGTTGTACTCCCCGCCCAATATTCCAAGTTGTCATCCAGAATTTTCCCAGCCCCTCTACAAAATAATCTTAGCGAAACGCAGATCTCCAACTTTTGCCGCCAATGGTTGGTTAACATTCTTAGGCGCCCTCAATGTAATTATCGAGTTTAATGATATTTTCTGGAAGATACATCCCTGCATTAGATCTCGGCAAATCTTGAAAGAACAACGAGGATGATTCGTCCAATCATATGTTACATCCTGAAACCCCTACCGCTACACGACGAATATTTCAAAAGTGCAAAGTGTCGATTTGCTCGCAATCTCCAGCACGATGGAAATGGAAATTCGTGGGTACAAACACGTCCGGGGGCCTTTCACCCAAAACAACAATGGATTCCTCACGATTGAAATCGAAGCTTCACACCGCCCGGGCCTAGCACCTCGATTCGAACCAATAACTACGCCCAGCTATACAATTACTTGTAATCCTCGCGCCCTTTCTGACTTCCTGCATAACAAGGGCGTATGGGTTTGCTTTGTAGGATCCGTCATCACATCAATTGTCGGCGGACCTAAACGTGTCTTTGCTCACATTATGATCGTCCACCGAGCGCCCTCGCCGCAATTCTATCATTACACCGTCATTGGGCCAGTAGTTTCAGGCACCGCTAAAGTTGTGCGTGTTGTTGGCTCAATTGCTACCCTCATGGAACAATCGCTGCGTGTACGTTTTCCATATCTGAGCCTTCTCATGCACCCGAGCTAACTATCAACTTCAACTTCATTCCTCAAGACTTGGCTTGTCCTTTTGACTTAAGTCCCGCAATCTTTGGGAGTATTGTTCCGAACCTGCAGCTGAATAGTTATCTATACGTTGCTGGCCGTTTCATTGATAAGGACACAGAATCGCTATTTATTCATATCCAAGTACGTTTTAAGCCTTTCTCTGGTTAAAGCGGGTTGGAGAAATCCTAATCGCTAATATTGAACACATCAGCCTTTTCTGATTTTGCCTGCGAACGGGGAGATCAGTTAAGAAGATTCCTCAAGGGACACATTTATCAAGCCATTCTCCTTGGGCTCTATTTGGTCACCGTGCATAACATTATCCATTGTCCCACTGCTCATTGATTGTTTCTATCTATTGCCAGGGTCATCTTATACGCGATGCTTTCAATCACTAAGGCAACCTCATTAACAAGGATCAGGTTCTCATGCCAAAAATTTGATTTTTTTGGCCCTATTTAACTAAACAAATATTGATTTATAAAATTTGAAACCTTTGGGAATGATCATAATTGAACAACTAACAGGTTATTAGGATCAGTTACTTTAGACCGTGATGTATAATATTGTCGTTCACAAAACCTTGGGAGTTGAACATGACATTTACGTCTTGAAGTTTTTGTCTTGGGTCTTGTTGATTGCCTCACCAAAACAAGACACGATTGGGAATTGATGTCTGTAAAATGAGACCTTAGCCTTTGATTAACCTTCATGTCGAGGAAGATTTTAGGGAATGTCACCTTTTAGGCTTTTAGAGGACGTGTTAACAAGTGTTCACCAAATGTCCTGTCTGTCGATCTCGTGACCGTTAAACGGGTTCAATTGCAGAAACCCTGAGAAATACTCAAGTTCCTCAACAAGATTGTGATGAAGGTGTGAGACGGTGATGTTTACAACTGAGTGTTTGGTCAAGAACAGGGCGGCGTAGCCGCCCCTAAACCCTAGTGTAATTAATATGTACTGAAAGCACCAAGGCTTCACCCAGGTGCAAGTTGGTTGAAGGGGCCCCAAAAAAAAGGGGTTGGGTATTTATATATGAGTCTTGAGAGTTGTGTAATAATTGTTATTCCAGAGGGTTGGTATATATTTAAGTAAATTGTAAGTGGGTGGTGTTTTTTGGGTTTGGGTTGCTAGACGCGGGATACAAACCTGGTTTACCTCCCACAGTGGATATGCTCTTAAAGCAAGGGCGGATGGAGGGGGCGGCTGACGATTGACTGGAAGGAAACCCTTCCAGTTGACAAGATACATGTGCCTTGTCAACCGGAAGGTTTTCCTTCCAGTCTACAAGGCACATGTGCCTTGTCAACCTGAAGGTTTTCCTTCCAGTCTACAAGGCACATGTGCCTTGTCAACTGGAAGGTTTTCCTTCCAGGCTACAAGGCACATATGCCTTGTCAACTGGAAGGTTTTCATTCCAGGCTACAAGGCACATGTGCCTTGTCAACTGGAAGGTTTTCCTTCCAGGCTACAAGGTACATGTGCCTTTTCAACTAGAAGTCTTGTCGGCTGGAAGGAAGACTTTCCGGTCAACAAGGCACCTGTACCTTGTGGGCCGGAAGGAAGACCCTCTGGTCAATGAGGCACTTGTATCTCTTTGGCTGGAAGGAAGATCTTCTGGTTGACAAGGTTGTGCCTCGTTGGCCTTCAGAAGGTACAGTCTCAAGGCCAAGAGGAACCCCTCCCAGCCTTTAGACTGTAGTGGCTATGGGCTGCGTTGTGCAGCCCAAAGCGACAGCCATGGGCCCAAAAGGTGACTTGTGGACATGTATCCTTCTGGATACCCAGATATCCTCTGAGATCGCGGTGTAAATCAGGCATCCGCAGCCAAATCCGCATCCGCTGGCGGATATCCTTTTCCAGTGGCAGGTATCTGCCAGCGGATAACCAAAGGCCATCTCTAGTGCCCACAACCAAGACTATTGTACCCAAATGGCTCATTGTTATGTTCAAGTACCTTGTGTGGTGTCTCTCTCAACCCAATCAACTTTCTTTGAACATTGACCCACACTGGCCGGGATCCCATCAATAAATCCTTGATGCTCTTCTGAGGCAAACATTGAACTCGGAATCACCCCTAGTGGTTGCATGCGGGATGATCTCTGATTACATTGCGTTTACTGGGCAAATACAGGCACAAACTTTTCTGTTGCCAAGAGGGACGTCGGGGAAACCGCCTTTAAGCGGGAAAAAGAAAGAAACAAGAGGTCATGGCATTAATGAATTTGTACTTAGCCTTGTAACATGTCAAGGATGAGAGAACAAGACTCACTAAAAATAAAGAGACAAGAGTTCATGGCATTAGTGACTTTGTACTTATCCATGTAACATGCCAAGGATGAGAGAATAAGACTCACAAATGGGCATGTTGGTGGATATTGAATCGGATTAAGTGAGGATGGTAGATGTGCTTCTGTGGATGAGAGTTGTTGGAAATGTGTATGTAGTTTGATGTTGGTGATTGGTTGGGTGGTGAGGATTTGGGTCTGGCTGGAGTCCAGGGTAGGGCAGGGTTGCTTAAACATCCAAATGATTATGGGGAATCAAACAGGGCTGGAAGCTTGAATCTTGGCGGTTTCTCTCAGACTCCTGAATGGTTGGAGTGAAATCAAAGAATAATTTTTATGGCTGGAAGGGCAGAGTAGTGTGTGGGTTGTAATAGGTTCTAGTTGATCATTGTTGGCATCAACTTTTTCTTGTAGGGGTGATTTTTTTTGGTGATAGATGTGATGGGGGAGATTGGGGTGAGTGAGTGTTTGGGCAGCTGGGCAAGAAGGTTTAGGAAGGAAGTTTTTGCGTAGTTTGATAGACGTATGTAGAGCAAGAGTATTCTAGGCTTCTTTCTTGAGATCGTCCAGTGTGGCTAAGGCAGGAAGGAGTGACAAACTCCAGTTCAAGAGGTTTTTGGGCATGTTTAGTTTGGGGGTGAGGAGTGAAAAGTGATCTTGAGCAATTGTAATAAGGCTGGTTGAGAGAACCAGGTTGCTTGCTGTTGATTTTGAAGCATGGCCACACCCAAGTAGTTGACTTTTGATTTTGTTGATTGTTGCAAGTAGGCATTCCCGGCTTTGGTCTTCAAGATGTGGTAGATCCCGCAAATCAGACCAGTGAGTTGCACTGGACTTGAGTGCTTGATTGATAGTCATAGACTGGTGTTCATCAAAGTTGAGCAGCCGACAGACAATCCATTCAATGGGGTGCCAAAGCCGTACACTGCATTCATCTTCTCTGTATTTTCTGCTTTTTTCTTCATAATCTGCAGCTCTTGCTCCATTTTTGACGCATTTGTCTTCATGGTCTGCAGCTCTTGTTTGAATGTCTCCTGCGTTTTTGCCAGATCTTGTTTGAACGTCTCCTCCATTTTTATCATTTTTGTCTTCATGTCCTGCATCTCTTGTTTGAGCGTTGTTTTGATGATCTGCATTGCTTCTGTGACTGAGTCAATCTTGGATTTATAATCTTGAATAGCTTTTTGGAGTGTTGTTTGCAGTTGGTTTGTGTACTCTAGGGTACTGTCAGCCTCTGGGTAACTAACCTGAGTATTTAATAGTAAAAAGGTTGTTACTATGAGTTGACTGAAGTTTTTGAGCGTGGAGAGTGTTAGGTAGTGGGTGATTAATACCAGTCCTGTAAAGAGGAGGTTTCACTCTATCAGTATGGTCTTTACTGAGAGGCTTGCTATCAACAGCGCATCCGGATCAATACAAGGTATTAATAGGCATCCAGGGTACTAAGACTCACCTGGGATTGATTTGGTTATTCCCCAAAGGGAATGGGCTAACAATACTTATTAAGCTTTAACAAAATTAGTTGAAGATTAACAGGTATTGTTGATGGGAATATTCAGCAAGGCTATGAATACTGTGGATAAGTTGAGTAAGAGTACTGAAGCTTAAGAACAATAAATGTAGACAAGATTTATGTTGGTTACGGGTACTGTATCAATATAAATGTTAACTGGTTTAACTGGTGTCTGAATATTCTGGGGATTAATCAGTGGAAGTGGCACGGATTATAAGTTCCAGAATACTGAAGGGGGAAAGAATGAGCGCTCAGAATCAAGGGAGCTTTGGCCAGGAGAATGAGCACATCAATTGAGTGACTGATCATTATTTGTCATGATCTGTAAGTGACATCATAATTGTGTACTAGTTGATCAATGTACTAGTTGCTCTTGATGTGTACTTAACAGATCCTCTAATAATGTAGTCATAATTGTGATCTGTGCATGTATTGAATGTATTAGTTCTATTGACACTTAATACTTACTATTTAATACATGTACATATTTATTTGTAATAATATTTGACCGTGAAAATACTGTAGCAGAGGGATAACTTGTGGTACAGGTATTTCACGGACAAGGGAGTGAAAGGTAAGTGATAATTACTTATGTAGAACACAGGTATGTATTTAAATAGATAAGTAATTAACAGATAAGATAAATGTAAGATAAATAAGATAAGATAAGTTAATGATAATAATAAGATAACAAGAGGTAAAGGTAATCAACATTATGGATAAGTACTTATGTACATAAGTACAGGTGTTGCAGTTACTTGGTACATGAAAAGTACTGTGACATGTACTCTGTGGCTGACACTTCCTCCCTCTAAAAAAGGCTGATCCAAGAAATAAATGAATGTTATTTTCTTTTATCAGCTCTGTATTGTCTGAGAATTTTATCAGCATCAGGTATTTTATCAACTGTAAGCCATTCATCTTCTTTGGTACCACTGTATCTTACTAAATACTGTTTCATGTCCACATTGTTTTTTCTGATTTTTCTATGTTGTAATATCTTCTTAATTTTAATTTCTTCTTTCTCTAAAGGAGGTATTACAACTCTGATGTTATCTTTTCTTAAAGGAAATTTATCATTATCACTAGTTTTGTATGGTTTAATTAGACTGACTGGAAATGTAGGGTGTTTTCTTTCTAATTCTCCAGTGAGTATAACTTCAACAGCATTTGCACCGTGTAATTGTTTGATTGTAAAAGGTCCTACAAAGGAATCTCTTAATTTTTTAGGTCCAGTCAGATTTGTAAAATTAAATGTAGATATCAAGACTTGGTCTCCAACTTTAAACTGGTGAGCTTTGTGAGTTTTATCCCATCTAGTTTTGTTGTAATCTACAGCTAATTTCACGCATTCTGCTGCATATTTTTCAGCTTTGGTCATCATAAAATGAAAATCAGAGGCACTTGGGTGTATATGTACTGCTTTTGACATTAAAATTTCTTTGGGAAACCAAGGAGTCCAACCTCTTTCCAATTCATAAGGTGTTTTATTTGTTGTACTGTGTTTGCTAGAATTGTAAGCATATTCAAGTGCAGGTAATAATGAACACCAATCATGAGTATAGTTGTCTTTATCCTTGAATGTCATTCCATAGGCACAATATCTTCTGATCATGTCTTCCAAAGTTTGAATCATTCTTTCAGCCAGTCCATCTGTTTGGGGGTGGTAAGCTGTAGAAAATTTCAGTTGTGTCCCGCATAAATCATATAAATTTCTCCAAAATTCTGACGTAAATTTAGGGTCTCTGTCTGTAATGATATATCTGGGACATCCAACATCATAAATAATAGAATTCCAAAATAATAAGGCAGTATCCATTGCTGTATCTTCTTTATGACATGGTAGAAATCTTGCTCTTTTGGAAAATCTATCAACTACTACTAAAATTGCATTGAAATTATTAGGTCCTCCGGGTGGTAAGCCAGTAACAAAATCCATGTTAATAACAGACCATCTTTCTTTGGGTTCTTCAATTTCTTGCAATAATCCATACCTTTTTCCTGTAGCTTTATTTGCTTTTTGGCATCTGTCACAAGATTCACAATAATCTTTGGTATCATTTCTAAAATTAGGCCACCAAGCAATTTGTTTAACTCTCTCAATTGTTCTGTCAAAGGAAAAATGAGCTGAGGATATATTGTCGTGACATTCTTTCAAAAATAAATTAATGTGTTCTTTTAAACAAATAACTACTACACTTGTATGTTTGATTCTGTGGTAAATTAATCCATCTAATAGAGAGAATCTATTTTCTTTGAATGAGCTAAGCCATGGTTCTTCTAAGGAATTGATCAGATCATTATTTTTGAAATTACTTTGTAATATATTCTTTATTGTGGAGCAATTTTTATTTTGGTCATAACTAATTCTAATTTCATCCCAAAATTCTTCTTGCATTTCAGTCACGTGTAACCCACAAATATTAATATCATCATTGTTATCATCAAAGGCAGGATTATTTTCATTATTTTCCTCTGGGAATAAACACATAATTTTTGCGGCAATTTCTCCGTCCCATGCTGGGTTGTCTGGTATATTTTCCAAAGACCATCTACTAAGTCCATCAGCATTTTTATGTATATTACCTTCTCTATGTTTGATAGTCATACTTCCTCTCCATTCTTGAATAGCTATTTGCCATCTGAGCATGTGTCTATTTGGAGTTTTCATACTTAATAAACTTTTGAGGGCCGTACAATCAGTAATGACTTCAAATTCGCATCCATCAAGGTAATAATATAATTTATCTAGGGCCCAGACTAAACATAAACATTCAAGTTGGCTGGCCCCATATTTTTTCTCACTGTCTTTCAATGTTCTAGAAATATAACAAATGACTCCTTCTTTTGGTATTTCTTGATCTTGAATTTGGTGTAAGGCAGCTCCTAATCCTTCCATACTAGCATCTACATATAATTTATAAGGCTTATTAGGATTAGGCATAAATAATATAGGAGCAGAAGTAAGTAATTCACGTAATTTATTAAATGCAGCTACTCTATCTACTGTCATCTCAAAAGCAGTGTTTGGGCTACTTAATTTATATAGACAACCTGTTACTTTGGCAAAATCTTTAATGTGTTGTCTATAATAACTAGCAAAACCAAGGAATGACTGTATTTCTTTAACATTAGTGGGCATAGGTTTTAACATTACTGCAGCTACTTTATTTTTATCTATAGCTATGCTCAATCCTGAAACTATGTGGCCTAATGCTTTAAGTTCTTGAAAACCAAATTGACATTTGTTCATAGAGATCTTCATATTCATTTTTATAACTCTTTCTAGAACAATTTTTAATTTGTCAAGGTGGTCATTCCATTCAGTGCTAAAAATAATAATGTCATCAATATAAATTATTAGCCATCCTTCACGTAATTCTTTATGAAATTCAGTATCCATCATTCTTTGGAAGTGAGAGGGTGCATTTTTAATTCCAAAGGGCATTCTCAAATATTCATAAATACCCATATGTAGAATAATTCTCATTAAGTGTCTACTATCTTCATGAATAACATTTTGATGAAATCCTTTAAGTACATCCATACACGTAATATATTTAGCATTTTGTAGTTGCGTGATGGCTTCACTTATTTTAGGCATTGGATATCTATCAGCAATTGTGTAGTTGTTGAGAGCTCTGAAATCTCCAACCATTCTAGATTTACCATTATGCCACGCAATAATTACAGGTGTAGTTACTTCAACATTTTCATTGGCACCAACTTTTCTAAGTACATTCATTTTTACTAAGTCAGATACATGTTGTTGTAAGGCTTCTCTGCTTCTTGGGGATGCTGGGTATGCAGCTTTTCTTAATGCTGGAGGGTAAGGTCTAGAAGTATTAAGATTAATTCTGACTTCATGTCCTTTTATACGTCCAAAGGGTTCATCAGTAGTAGCAAAGGCTAATTTCTTTTTATGTAGTAAATAATATAACTGTGACTTTTCTTCTTCTGTTAAAGTACTAGAAATTTTTGCTTCTTCAATAGTATTTCCAAAATTATTATTTTCTAAAGCATTACATTCTAGTTGTACTAAATTCATTTTATCAGTGATACCAAGTTCAAATTTAGTAGATAAGTCTCCATTGATAGTAAAATATCTGCCATTGCTATTTATAACATCTATCCCGTAATTAATTATGTAATCATTTCCTAAAATGATGTATTTCATTCTAAAGTCTTCCATTACAATTAATTCTACCGTGATTTGTATGTTATTTTTAGCATGAGGAAATATAATATCTAGAGTTATAATTCCCATAGGGTTCAATTTACTGTTACAACTGTAGAATTTCTCAGGTTTGATGGGGATCAATTTTGTTTTCCAATCAGGCAGTATTTTATCTAATAATTTAGGACTAATTATAGAACAGAAGGCTCCTCCATCAATCAGACATTTAATCTTGTATTTATTACAGATAATATTTGTGATGTTAGTACCTCCAGTCTTATGAATTTCTCCTTTATTACTAGACTTCTTCACGGGTAATTTGATAATTTTATGAGGTAAACTCTTTTCAGGTAGTAATTCTATATTAGAAATGATTTTTTCTT